AACCCTCCAAAAATAGAAAGAAATAAATTAAGTCAGATCAGCTTCTGCTATAAACCAGGAAGTGGTTACCCTTATTACAAGGACAAGACCAAGAAGGCTGCATATAATTTCTACTCACATCCTATAGCTAGAATTTAATTACATGACACATCTGCCTGCAAGAGAAGCTGGGAAATTAAAATCATAGTATAATAAAGAAACTTCAGTCACCACAACCCGTTCAAAATCCAGGATCTCTGACTATCAGGTCTAGATGTCACTCTTATGTCCAGTGTTCTATAAAATAAATAATAAGATTTATCTCTCTCCCACACCCAAGATAGAGGTGGAATAGGAATTGGTTAAATACAGCAAAATATCTCTTTTGTAAAGGGGAAGGATAGGAGAAACATAATTAAAACTATTATAAAAAACTATCCATAAGAAAGATAATGAGGCAACTGGGAATCTGTCGTGAATATTGTTATCCTTATTTTATAGATCATGAAATTAAGATCTATAAACAAGATGAAATTCTTGTTCCATCTTTATAGTTAAGAAGTGGCAGATTATCTTAAGAATCATTTTCAAAAAGATGTCATTAATTGTGAAATTTTGGTCTTCTATCAGGTATTTTTTTAAATAATGATTCCTTTGAAATCAATATATAATAATCTTCAAAGGTTGTGGTTTCCCCAAGCTCATGAGATTATGCACACACTTTGTCCTAATTTATAGACATGGAAACTGTCCTCTTTAAATCCTCTGCTAACTCCCCACTGCCTACTGGATGAAGTCCAAATTCTTTATTCAGAGCCCACACCCTCCCTTCTGCCTCATCTCAAACCCAACCTCCCAACCACATTAAATATCTCATCAACCCCTGAACCCACCAACCCAACTACACTTCCATTCCCTCTGCCCTTCCTACTCTTTCCCTCTTGCAGACCTTGAACTCTTCTGAGCCCCATCTCAAATACTCTCAAATACTGACCCCTCTGTGACATCTTTGCCGACTCTCCATCCAGTGCTAGAAGATCCTCCTCCCATTCCCTCTTTGTTCCATTTTCTACCAAAACACAGTTCATTATATTAAATGCTCTAAGTAGAATCCTATTTTCCACTAGCTGGTGAGCTCCCCGAGGGTAAAGGCATACCTGATTGATCTTGAATCCCCAGAGCTACAGGTTTTACCACATGGTAGGTCCTGAATAAACATCCTTTAAGAGTTTAAGTTTGAGGTAAGGAAACAAAAATATTTGGATAAATGGCAAAGTATGGAACACCATCCAGCATTCTGTGCAATGTGCACTGTAAGAGGTAAGGAACACTGAGACTATAGCGGTTCAGGGAGGGTTAGGGAGCTGTACAAATCTTCCTGGAGGAGGGTCACAGCTCATGCTCCATGTTGCAATATGAGTAATGTCTAATTTTTTGAAAGGAGAGGAGAGGAACTTTAGAATTAAAGACCTGCATCTAGGGCTGTGTTTGGTATATACACAGGGATGGTGAGGAAACAGACCTAAATCATATTTAGGGATGGGAAAAGTAGGACTGTGGGTTTGGGAGGCCATGAAATCCTGCATTCATTTGTTCAACAAATATTTATTGAGCATTTGCTGTGTTTTGCAGAAGGTTCTAGGCACTTGGATACATCAGTGAACAATTTAAAGATCCTTGCACACAGCACTTACAGTAAAGTAAAAAGACATAAAAAGGTCAATAAATAAGTATAGTAGAGCATGTCAGAAGGTGGGGAGTGCTATGGAAAAATAAAAGATTTAGAGCAGGGTAAGGGGAATCAGGATGGGGAAGGGGACATTGTAATTTTAATTAAGATCTTCAAAGTAGCCCTCATCAAGAATGTACACTTGAACAAATACGTGAAGGAGATGAGGGAATTCGCTATGCAGATTATCAGGGAAAGAAGTTCCTGGCAGAGTTCCTGAATTGACAGCATTTCTAGCATCTTGGGGAATAGCAAGGAGGCTGGTGTGGCTGGACTGGAGTGAGCAAGGAGAAGGATGATAGGCAGTAAGGTCAAAAATGTAAGGGGATGGGGTAGGGCCACCATGTGGAGCCTTGTAGACCAGTGCATGGATTTTGACTTTTACCCCAGTGCATTGGGAGCCACAGCAGGGTTTGAGCAGAGGGGCAACATGATCTGTCCTGTTTGAAAGCAAGGGTCAGGCATGGTCAGTTCTGCCTAAGCATTTCTATTAATTATGGGTTACTATTCACATTATACATGTCAATTTTCATGTAATTCAAATATGGTGTATAAAGTCTAAGCTTGGAGGAAGATAGGGATCACGTAGGAAAACTGCAGACACATAGACTGTCAGACAGGAAGGGGCTTAGAAACCAAGCCCTGTAAGTTTGTGTGGCATGTGAAAAGTCATACAGTCATTCAGAGGCAATGCCAAGCCAGGTTTAGACTGTCTCACAGTTTGTAGCTTGTGCCATTCCACTACAATGACCCAGGATGTGTCACAAAACTTCTGTTTATGTATTTCTTTGCTATCAGTTTATGAATAAATAGATGAATACACAAGAAATGGTCAAAAAAGAAACACAGCAAACGCGAGAACTGTCACAGATCGCTCACAGTAGTTAGAATTAAGACTCCTAGCCCTGCACTCTTCATTCAGGGGATGGCAGCCTCCCAAGACTCCTTGAAGAATCTTCCTGAAGTCTCTGGCTACCTGGCTGTCTTCCAGACAACCTGCCAGGGCTGGGGCTGCTACTCCATGACAAGTGAAGGAAATGAAGTAGGTGAGGGTACAAACGCTCCATGGTCTTGGTGTCATAACCTTCAGAATGTGATCCACCACATATAGGGAAAATGGCAGCCCTCGGTCTCCTGTGAGAAGAGAGATTTTTCTTCAGCTCCACAAAGGGCTGAGCCTCTAGAGTTTGGGAGAGGAGCCTGGAAACTGAGTGCTGCGCTAACGGGGGTGGGGGCATTCTCTGGAGAGGGGTGTCCTTTAACCCTGAGGCGTTTGCCACCACTTCTGTCAGAGCAGCAGCTGCCGTGTTCACATCTTAGTAAGTAACATCTTTAGCAGTTGAGCATGTGTTGAACAGGGTGTCCGTCAACTAGAAGTGCCAAACAGAAATTGTCAAACAAGTTTCGTGGAAATCTGAAGGAAGTGGCCGGTTCTGTTTTATCTTCACTGGGCCTTTTAGGTTTTTACAAACAATACGCCTTTCTCAGCTTTTCTCAGGAAAAGGACCTGAATAGGATAAAGGAAAATAGCACCATTTAACACCTCTGGATAATACCCTGATGGTTAAAACAATCCATGACGGATTTCTGAAAATTGTGTTTGCAGGCTCGTAAAGGTTGTGGATGCCGGGCACAAATGCCATCTGAAAAGTCAGTGTGTTTCTGGGTAAGTAAATAATCTATAAAATGTCCCCTCTAACCACAGTCTGCTCTGTGTGTTTCCAGGAAGGACTACTCGGGGGAGTATACCATCCACCTGATTCCATGCACTGTGCAGCCCACACAGCCATGGATTGATCCAGGGGAGAAGCCTTTGGCCTGCACTGCACATGCCCCAGAAAGGTAGGGAAATGCAGGAGATCTTCACTGTTTGTAAATCCACCTCCTCGCTAAAATGTATTTGTATCTGCAAAGTCCGTTCTCGCGGTGTCTTCACGGTCATTCATGGACATGCAGAGTGGCAAATTGTTGAGTCACTGGACACGCACATTCCCGGCTCAGGTCAAGTAAGGCCTTCTTGTTGCAGCTTTTGTACTAGAAACAAGTATCCTTTCCATGGCTACATAGTACCACGGTTTTCAAATTTGTGTGCTTTTTCTTGGTGATTTCACGGTTTATAATGGCTCCCAAGCGTAGTGCTGAAGTGCTATGTGGTGTTTCTAAGTACAGGTAGGCTGTGATGTGCCTCGGGGAAAGTCGGATAGGCTTCACTGGGCATAAGTTTGTCAGTTCCACGTTAACAAATGAGCAACATATTAAGTAAGGTATTCTAAGCAGAAACATGCATAAAACAGTGTTTGGTATTGGTCGGTCAATCAAAATGTTGTGACCAGAGGCTGCAGGGACTCTACCCTCTATTTCCCCTAAGAGCAGTGATTCAGTATTCACTAATTCAGTGTTCACTGTGACTTTATAGAACATGCTTACCACAAATAACAAGAATCAACTATACATCAGCCTGTACTCACCTGAGACCTGAGACTGTCTGCATTATGCCATGTATTCATTCATTCAACCAGTATTAACTCGGCTTTTACCATGTGCTTGGCTCTGGTCCAGACTGGAGATTATAGCAGAGGACTAAAAGTAACCTCTGCTCTCAGACAGTGGATAGTCGAGTGCCATTTTCCCAGGAGCAGAGCAAAGTGAAGAGAAAACATTTCTGAGAGATGATGCTGAAGACAGGATCTGACATTATCATAAAGAGAAGATAATTTGGAATGTGACGTTCAGATTAAGAAACTGAGAATTGGGCATTGGATTTGGTGATTCAGAAGTCATTGATGATCTTGACAAAGGGCAGGGTCAGTGGAGTGAGGGGTTAAAGTCTGGTTGGAGTGGGCTTAAGAGATGGCGACGAGAAAGTAGAGACAACAGGGGTAAACTGTGTCGAAGGTGTTTTATTATAAAGGACATCAGCAGAAAGGGACAGTAGCTAGAAACAAAGTCAAAGGAGGTCTTATTTGTGTTTTAGAGTAGAAAATATTTCAGGATATTTGTACTCTGGTGAAGGTAACCCAGTTGGCCTTTAGGTGAAATTTAATGTTGCAGCAGAACAAGGGAAAATCTGCAGAGCCAAACCCTTGAATAGGGTGGGGATAGGCCCGGGATGAGAGGGGAAGGGCTGACCTTTGCTAAAAGCACAGAATGTTTACTCACAGAGAGAGGAAGGCATGCAGGTGTGTGTGGATATAGGCGAGGGGAAAATTGGTAGAATGGGAGGACAGGGATGAAAAGTAGAATCTGATTAAATCCATTTTCTCCATAAAATGAGAAACCAAGCATGGGATGGAAGTGAGGAACACTGAGGTTTGAGAAGAGAGGAGGAAGTGAGGCAGCCATCTTAGAGAGTGGGAAAGTATGCTGTCTGTACAGATGGCAGCAGATCAGGCTGTGCTGAGAGCCTGTTGAGTGATTGTTAAATTGCCATATTATTGACAATAAGATAAACTGCATATTTATGGTACGTCCAACTGATAAATTTTTACAACACCCATGAAACCATCAGAACTAAGATAGTGAATATATCCATTTCCTTCGAAGTTTCCTCATGCCCCTTGGTCATCCCTCCCACCCCAGCCCAGCCCACCCCTTTGTCCAGGCATCCACTGATCTGCTTTCTGTCACTACAGATTAGTTTGCATTTTCTAGAAATTTATATAAATGGCATCATACAGTATGCATTCTTCTTCTCTGGCTTTTTTCACACAGTGCGATTATTTTCATGCATTCCTGTTGTGTATTATCAGTAGTTTGTTCCTGTAATTGCCGAATTGTAGTCCATGGTGTGGATATACTACAATTTGTTTATCAGCTCATCAGTTGGTGGGCATTTGGGGTGTTTCCAGTTGATGGCTATGATAAATAAAGCTGCTATGAATGTATATACACAGACCTTTACATGGACATATGCTTTCAGTTTTCTTGTGTAAATACTTAGGAATGGAATGGCTGGATCATATGGGGAATATATGCTTAACTTTTTTTTTGGAATTTTTAAAAAATGTTTATTTTTGAGGGAGAAAGCATAAGTGGGGGAGGGGCAGAGAGCGAGGGAGACACAAATTCTGAAGCAGGCTCCAGGCTCCAAGATGTCAGCACAGAGCCTGATGTGGGGTTTGAACCCACCAACTGTGAGATCATGACCTGAGCCAAAGTCAGCGGCTTAATGGACTGAGCCACCCAGGCGCCCCCTGCATGCTTAACTTTTTAAGAAACTGCCAAACTGTTTTCTGAAGTGTTTGTAATATGTAACATTGTGTGTACATTCCCACCATGAGTGTGTCAGCGTTCCAGTTTCTCGGTATGCTGGGACAAGTGGTCAGGGAGGTTCTACGTGACTGGAGAATGAATGAACAGGAGTAGTAGCAGGGGTGAGCTGGGAAGTTAGGAGATGGTAGTTAGAGAGTGAGGTGCTGGAAAATGATATTCTTGGAGGTGGTGCATAGTAGGACCATGAAGCATAGGTGGCTGTGGTTGGGGGGAAGAACAAGCTCTTTGAGGTGAAGATATTAAGGAACTGAGGGGTTAAGGTATTAGATGATTCATCCATGTGGATGTTGAAATCATCAAGATTAATGGTAGGAACACCACAGTCAGCTAAATGAGGGAGGGAAAGTGACCAGGAAAATAGTGGTTGGCTGAAATAAGGAAGAATGAGGGCAAATAATCTGGTAAGATATACTGGAGATTTCTATTCATGTATTAAAATTGTTAAATTATGAATATTATCTTATTTATTTATTTATTCATTTATTTAGTGTTTATTTATTTTTGAGAGAAAGAGCACAAGTGGGGGAGGGGCACAGAGGAGGTGGGGGACAGAGGACCTGAAGCAGGTTCTGCACTGACAGCGGCGAGGCTGATGGGGGGCTCGAATTCATGAACCGTGAAATCATGACCTGTGTCGAAGTCAGACACTTAACCAACTGAGCCGCCCAGGTGCCCAAATAGGAATATTATTTTAGATAGTCAGAAGACCATATATAGTACACATATAATACCTCAAGAAACAGAATATTACCTAATATGAATTGCAACTACAATAAATGAGTATCTCTTAGGCTGTGCTATTCATGATAAAATGAGTAGTAACAACTACCAGTGATATGAAAGATCATGTATGGAGTGCAGACTATGCGGGAGACTCTGTACTAGGCTCTGAAGAGTTAATTCTTACCACAGTGGCCCCCCAGAAAATTGGCACTGTTCTTTCCATTTTATAACCAGTGAAAGTTGGAGTAGAGAAAAAAAAAGAAATAGAACATTACCAGTACCTTTTATTTTTTTTAAGTTTATTTATTTATTTTGAGAGAGAGAGAGAGAGAAAGAGTGCGAGCATGGGTGGGGGAGGGGCAGAGAGAAAGCGAGACAGAGGATCTTAAGCAGGTTCTACGCTGTGAGCATGGAGCCCAACATGGGCCTCAAAGCCACGAAACATGAGATCATGACCTGAGCCAAAACTAATAGTTGGATGCTCAACTGACTGAGCCCCCCAGGTGCCCCACCAGTACCTTTTAAATACCCTTAGTGCCCTTTCCACTTGCTCTGTCTTCCACCTTTTGGCCAAGATAACCACTAGACTGATGTTTGTATTTATCATTCCTTGTTTTGGTTTATGGTTTACCTCCTTTTTACTTCTGCATGGTTTTGCATGTGTTTTTTTGAGCGATATAAAAATGTCATACTGCACAAATTCTCTCTGCAAGTTTTCTTTTTTGCTCAGTGAATCATTTCCTGATTCATAAGTATATCAACATTTGTGTTGATTCATGTAGCTGTAGTGTGGTTTTCACCGCCTTAAGGTATTCATTGTGGGAATATTCCACAATTTATTTGACCATTGTATTTGACTTACAATTCCATATTCTATTAGGAGGAATACTCTATTTGTCTCTGAGTGTACATGTGTGAGAAGAGTTTCTCCAGGGTAGGTCTTGGATTTTTTTTTTTTTTTT